AGTTGCTGTATTTGAGACACAGAAAGCAGTGTCGCATCTTAAACATCTAAGAGAGAAAAATGTGATCCTAATTGGCTGAGCAAGCCGGCAAGATATGAAGCTATGAACTCATCTCAGTCTTTATCTTCCCAACAAATTTAAATTAACTCATTTGTCGGAAATCTATTTATGTTAAAATTTCAGTCATAAGACAAAGCAATACCATAATATAAATTTGCCAGGTTTATAAGCAGTTAGATCTAAGTTATATTTATGACACACTGAAACAAGGCCACCTGGTTGGTTATGTGGCTAAACTTCAAGATTTTTATTTGCAGGTCTAATGTAATCCTTGAATCAAAATTTTTAAATGGCAATAGCTTGACTTAAAAAAAAAAAAAAAACAAAGAACAACTTTTGACCTTTCTTGGGGGAAAAAAAAGTCTGAGCATTAATTTTTTTGATGTCCCAATTCCAGCTGGGACTAGCTGAAATAATTATCCTCCAAGTAATCTTGAATGACCAGTTTTCTTAGTAAAGGCAGCCACAGAAAACAAGACAAAACAACAACATCGATAAGGAAAGTAAAAACCTCCCACCAAAGAAAACAAAACAATATTAGTTTAAGCACACAGAACCAAAAGTGAATTCATCAGGGGAAAAAAAAAAAAAACATGAGCTAAAAAAAAGAAAAGAAATTCCTGCCAAAAATGAAGTGGCCATTGGTATCTTATTCAAAGTTATTTCTAGATATACATCGGGGGCAGTTTACTTTGGTGTGTTTTAACTAAACTTTGTCCAGTGCTGTTTTCAGGACTCATTTGGTTAGAGGATTATCTGGTGATTGGAGTAAGAACCAGTGCTTGGGAGGTGTTTTGGGGGTCAACCAAACGTGCTATTTGGACGGGAGCTGTGGCTCAGTGGTTGAGTGCTTGTCTAACATGTGTGAGGCACTGGGTTAGATCCTCCTCAGCACCACATAAAAATCAATCAATCTAAAATTTCAATCAATCAATCAATCAATCAATAAAGGTATTGTGTCCATTTACTCTCTCTCTATATATATATATATGTATGTATGATATATATCATGCCTGTAATCCCAGTGGCTCTGGAGGCTAAGGCAGGAGGATTGCAAGTTCAAAGCCAGCCTTAGCAAAAGTGAGGCACTAAGCAACTCAGTGAGACCCTGTCTCTAAATAAAATACAAAATATAGCTGAGGATATGGCTCGTGTTTGAGTGCCCCTGAGTTCAATCCCTGGTGTCCCCCACCCCCACCCCTCCAAATGTGATGTTTTCAAGGATTCCTTCCCAGAGTGTCACTGGTGGACCAGCTATCTTCTGGAAAGCCCTCAACACTAAGGGTGTGGGGATGCTCAAGGTGCAGGGTGACTATCCCATTATGTACAAACCTCCTAGATGAGTTGTTAGACTTACTTTAAACCTAGGAACAGGGTATGTTTTGAAATGGAATCCTGAGACTGCTGCATGTCATAGGACAGTGGCCTGACACCTCCATCAAGGTCTTAGTCATCTAGAGTCACCAAGAGGGGACTCTCATCTTCAGAGTCTGGAGACTGTCCTGTAAGTACATTCCCAAAAGGACCGTTGCTGCCAGCCATCAAACTTCTTTAGCTTCTATTAAGCCAACAACCAAGCTGAAAGATAAAAAAGAATATAAAGCTGGTGTAGAGTACAGCTTTTAGATACCAGTCAGCTGAAATTCTCCCCAGGGGGCTTCCGATAGAATCAGCACTTTCCATTTCCATGTGAATCACTAAAAGAAATCTCCAAATATCTTGTTTTTTCTCATATGTGTTATGCCCCTCCCCTGAAAATTAACATCACAATTTTTCAAAATCAAGACTTGTCCACTAAGGGCCAAAGCCTCAGATGGCTCAAAGAACCCCCAGTTGGCTCAAATGAAAAGGACCATGCACTGTCTGAAAAATTCATTTCTATACGTCACCAAAAAATGGTGAAAATGGTGAGGACAGTCATCAGTGGCCCAAAAGAGAAAGAAAGTCATCCCTACACTCCCCTACCCCCGCCCCCCAAAACCTAGATATTCATAAGGAATTGCTTCTCATCCAAGGCTGATTGCCCACAGGTGAAGCTCTGGGAAATCTTATCTAAGAGATGCCACCAGATGGCGCTGTCACATCTGGGGAGCTAATTTTGTTTCCTGGGCCTTTGGCCAAAGGCTTGACTGTGGGGGTCCCAACAGGCTGGACTCAGTTCTCACCCACTTTAGGAGTAAGAGAAATCCATTGGTGAAGAAAAAGTAGCATCAGAATCTTATGATTGAGAACAAAAAAACCCAAGAAATACACATAGTGTTATATTTATAAATCCAGTTTTTTTTAAGGGGGTGGGTATGGGGGATTGAACCCAGGGGCACTCTGTCACTGAGCTACATTCCCAGCCCTTTGTATGTTTTATTTATAGATGAGGTCTTCCTGAGGGCCTTGCTAAGTTGCTGAGGCTGGCTTTGAACTCACAATCCTCCTGCCTCAGCCTCCTGAGCTGCTGGGATTATAGGCGTGTGCCACCGCGCCTGGCTGTAAATCACTTTTTGAGGTTTGTCAACACTGGGATATTGGGGCAGTTCACATTCTCAGCATAAGATGGAGCTTGGCAAGGAAAAAAAATTAAAGTATAGGCTCCCAACCTTCCTTAAAAAGTACAGGCTGAGAGCTTCTTTTAAATCTTTTAATTTTAAAGAGGGTTCCTTTACAAATTTATGTTCACTTGTTAAGAAAATGCCACACTTAGGAGCTGGAGGTGTAGTTTAGTGGTAGAGGGCTTGCCTGGCATGTTCAAAGCCCTGGGTTCTGTCCTTGACCCTAAAATAAGTAAGTTAAACTTTTCAAGTAGTGTTTCACTTTAACATTCACATCAGTGATACATGAAGAAGTTCATTGTTCCCATTCCTGCTAACACTTGGTGGTATCGGTCTTTTCATAGTTAACCGGTCTAATAGTATATGGTGGGATCTCACTGTGATTTCAAGTTTGAGTTCTCTGAGGACTAATGATGTTGAGCATCTTTTCATGTTCTTAGTATCTGTGTTAGTCAGCTTTTTGTCACTATGACTAAAATAGCTGACAAGAACAACTTAGAGGAAGTAAAGTTTATTTTGGGTTCACAGTTTCAGAGGTTCAGTCCATGGTTGGTCCGCTACATTACTTAGGGTCCAAGGTGAGGCAGAGCGTCATGGCAGAGGGGATGGCAGAGGAGAGTTGCCCGGCTCATGGCAGCTGGTAACAGAGAAAGGGAGGGGCCGAAGGGAAGATGCACCCTTCTAAGGTATGCCCTCAGTGACCCACCCCTCCAGCCATGCCCCACCTGCCTAGAGTCACCACCCAGTCAGTCCACTCAAACTAGGATGGACTGATTAGGTTACACCTCTTGTAATCCAATCATTATTGAATAGACTATTCAATAATGAATATTCCTGCATTAACACAGGAGCTTTGGAGGACACCTCATATCCAAAATATAACCGTGGCCATTTCTTTTACTTCTTTGTGAAGTATCTGTTTTAATCTTTTCCTCATTTTTTTTAAAAACATAAACACAATGGTAACCGTACTTTTAAAAAAGGCCCCATCTTGATATTCTGCACAAGGGCACACGGCCTGTACAGTTCCATTCCCTATCTTGCTCTTACCTTGGTTGCTACTTTTGAAGATTTTTCCAATCATTTTGAGGGTCTCTATTTGTCCCTCCCTACCTTTGGCATGGGACTCTGTTTTAGGTAATTGGGCATCTCTCATCTCTCAGCATTTGTTATTTCTCGTCTCTAAAACAGGGAAAACACTTAAATGGCAGAAACAATTGTGAACATTAGAAGATGGTAAAATACTTGCACAGTGCCTGACATCTAGGGGCTCATAAAAACAAAAGTAGGAGTTGGGGATTTAGCTCAGTGGCAGAGTGCTTGCCTAGCATGCCCAAGGCCATGGGTTCAATCCTCAGCAACAAACCAACCAACCAAAGAGCTCACTGTTCTTATTGTATCTTTTGTTCTCTAGAGTTCATTTAAAATAAAGGTGTATCTAAAATAAAAGAAAATAAGGTTGTGTACAAATACTACAGATTTATAAACAGCATTTTGCCTTTGTAATGCTCTTCATTACAGCTTAAAGTACAAATGATAAATAAGCACTGGTTCTAATGACCCTGCAATTACTACCATGTAAGGTTACAACAGCCAACATTAAGTTTAAAACTAAATTACCAGGTCCAAGGTTTCTATCCAGAGGCAAGAAGTTTCTTTCTCTCTTTCTTTTTTTTTGGGGGGGAGGTGTTGGGTGGGTGGGTACCAGGGTTTGAACTCAGCCCTATTTGGTATTTTATTTAGAGACAGGGTCTCACTAAGCTGCTTAGCACCTTGCTTTTGCTGAGGCTGGCTTTGAACTGTCAATCCTCCTGCCTCAGCTCTGGGAGTCCTTGGGATTTCAGGTGTGTACCACCGCACCTGGCTCACTTAACGTAATGTTCTTGAAGTTCACTGTGACTCAGCGATAGATTGCTTGCCTAGCATGCATCAGGCCCTGGGTTTAATCCTTAACACTATTGCAAAATAAAAAGAGAAAAATTGTAAACTATTTTTTTTGGTTTTTATTAAACCAAAAAATTGTAGCACTATTTCAATCTTTTGTGACAGAATAATATTTCATTATGTGGACAAACCACGTTTTGTTTATCTAATCATTCATTGATGGCACATTTGGGTTGTTTACCTTTTAGTGCTGTCTGAAAACCCTAGTATGGTGTTTGAGTCTTTGTTTTCAATACTTTGGGATGTATGGGGATGAGGAAATACTGTCTTATAATGCTAATTTTGTTTAGCGTTTGGGGGATGGGTTTTGGCTTTTTTTTTTTTTTTTAATCCAAGAGACAGGACAGAAGCAGAGATATGGGCCCTATGAATTCACATGAGCCAGGCTGCCAGTCCAATTTGTGTGTATCCCATCCAACTAACTTGGATCTTGTCTTTGACTTCTGCCAGCAGAGGAAAGTGATGCTGTGGTCCCCTTACTTCTCTTTCCCTTAGGGCTGTGTGTGGCTGTTCCTGAAAAAACTGTAAGATGGTGCACCGTGTCGGATCAGGAGGACACTAAGTGTTCCAGTTTCCGCGATAATGTAAAGAAAGTCTTTCAAGCAGATGGTCCCCTTGTCACCTGCGTGAAGAGAACTTCTTACCTTGAGTGCATCAGGGCCATTGTGGTGAGTCACTGCTGCCCAAAGGAGAGCAGAAGAAAGTCCATACTTGGTTTTTCTCCACTTATTATTATAGAGGAAAATGCTGCTGTTCAACATTCATGAATAGTAGAAACCATAATCGTAATTAAACCAACAACAGAGAAGGATTCAGTGTTAGTGAGATATCTATGGTGAGCAAAGCCAGCATTGAACTAGAGAGACTCTATAAGGACTCAGGATTGGGCTGGGGATGTAACTCAGGAACGAGCCCTTGCCAAGCATGTGTAAGGCTCTGGTTTCCATCCCTGGCACTGCCCCAAACAAAACAAAAACAAACAAAAACTCAGAAATAAGAAATAAGCAAAAAGGTCCAGTGTCACTATTATTTTTTAGATGGATACTTTATAATTATACATAATAGTAGGATTCATTGTGATTCATTCATACACACATGTAATATATTTAGGTCAGTTTCATTCCCCAGTACCTTCTCTTTACCTCTTCTCCTCCCTGGTCCATATGTTCTGCTTTACTGGTCTACTCGATTTTCATGAGATTTTCCCCTTTTTTTCTCTCTAGCTTCCACGTAGAGGAGAAAACACAACCCTTGGCTTTCCGAGTCTGGTTTATTTTTATTAACATAATGTTCTCCAGTTCTATCCATTTTTCTGCAGATGTCATAGTTTTGTTCTTCTCTATGGCTGAGTAAAGCTCCATGGTGCATATACACCACATTTTCTTTATCCATTCCTCTGTTGATGGACACCTAAGCCAGTTCCCTAGTTTAGCTATTGTAAATTGCACTGTTATAAATGCGGGAATGCACATATTGCTATAGTATGCTATAGTTCCTTGGGATAAACACCAAGGAGTAGGCTAGCTGGGTCATGTAGTGGTTTCATACCTAGTCTTTCGAGGAACCTCCATACTGATTTCCAGAGTGGTTGTACTATAGTGTCACTGTTATTACTTGACATTGTTTTTGAAATTTCCTTGGTGATGCAATAAGATAAATACATGTAAGATGGAAACAAACAAAAATGTCAGTATTTTCAAATGATTTCATGCCTGGAAAGTACAATAGAATCAAGAGAAACGCTGCTACATTTTTTTTAATGAACAAAGTAGTTTGGTAAAAGAGAAATATGTCACAGTAATGTCATTTTCATATACCAATAGTCATTAGTTGGGGAAAAATAGCTTGAAAATATGGGTTTATTATTATTTTTTTTAAAGAGAGAGAGAATTTTTTAATATTTATTTTTAGTTTTCAGTGGACACAACATCTTTATTTTATTTTTATGCTGAGGATCGAACCCAGCGCCCCACGCATGCCAGGCGAGCGCGCTACCGTTTGAGCCACATCCCCAGCCCCTGGGCTCATTATTTTTAAAATAATAAACAGAAAATATTTTTGGAAATTTAAAATAGAAAAGATCTGCAAAATTGTTATAATATGAAAGTCTATAACAAGTGAACGATACCTTTTAATAAATGAACTAAAATGCCATATTCCCAGGTAGAAAGATTAAATATCATATACTTGTATATCCTCTCAAAGTTAATGCACAACTTTACTATTATTTTCATCAAAATACATTTTAGCTTAATTATTTTTTCTTTTTCCTCTTTTTTTATTTTTCCTGGTGGTGCTGGGGATTGAACCCAGAGCCTCACACATGCTAGGTAAGCGTTTCTACCATTGAACTATGATTCCATCCCCAAATACAGTCTTTTCAAAGAAATCACTAAAGTAATTATAAATTCTTCAAGACGAGAATGTGGATGAGATTACAACATGCCTTGAGAAATAAAAGTGACAGAGGAATAGCTGAGCCCTTCCTAAAAGGATGTTGTATTTAAATAAAAGCATTATAAATTAGCAGGGCTCAATGGTGCATGTCTATAATCCCAGCAGCTTGGGAGGCTGAGGCAGGAGGATCAAAAGTTCAAAGCCAGTCTCAGCAAAAGTGAGGCGCTAAGCAACTGAGAGAGACTCTGTCTCTAAATAAAATACAAAATAGGGCTGGGGATGTTGCTCAGCGGTTAAGTGCCCCTGTTCAATTCCTGGTACTGCCTTCCCCTCCCCCCAAAAAAGAACAGGTTACTGGCAGAGATCTTGAAGACCTGGAAGAGAACAACACTGACATATTCCTAACTTTCTACCTATTTAACTATCTATATGATATGATAAAGATACAAAGTATAAAAAAGGTCAGCATTAGGACATCAGTGACCTAGACTTAATAAATTTAAGCAAGAGTACATGTAGACTTAACTAGTTACGTATGATAAGGCAAACTTTTCAAACAAATGGTTGAGAAATGATTCTTTAGTTGGTCAACTGGGTAGACATTAAACAAACAAACAAACAGAAAGAGTGAGAGCCTTAATCCATTCACTAAATAAACCAGTTTCATTCAATTTGACTGAAAGAAACAGACATGATTAGACATGGGACAAAAGCAGAAAATTTGGAAATTAAAAATTTTGAAGCTCGACTAAGAAATATTTTTAAAAGCCTTAGCATGCAAAAAATAATCACATCAGCATACTGTACTGTAAAAACTATACAAAGATGTCATTTAAATTTATGAGAACACTTAAGAATAATAAGCAATAAACAAACCACTCACAGAAAAAAATTATACTAAACAATATAAACAATGAGGGAAAGTGTTCATCTTTCTTAATAATCAAAGAAATGTAAACAAAACCATTCTTATAGTAACACTTTATATCTAGTAATGTAATAATATTTCTTAAATGATAATATCTTTCACTGATAGGTTTTCAGTGAAATTGATATGCATTGCAATTGGCATTATAAGTCATAAATTTCTATTGGCATTATAAGTTATTTTTTTCATTTCTGGAAAACCATTTGGAAATATTTAGTAAGAATCATAAAGTGCATATGAATTTTTAATTCATGCATATGTTCATATTTATATGTGCATGTACAGGATTTAGAAATGACAGTGGAATTGAGAGAAATGCTGTTATAATTATTTATTAATGACTAAATGAGTTTGATAAAAAATAAATATATCATAAGTAATATTATTTTCAAATACCAACAGTCACTAATTGGGGAAAAATAGCCTGAAGTTGTGGTCTCATTACATTTAAGATAATAAACAGAGAAATATTTGTGGAAAAATAATACATGAGAGATCTGCAACATTGTTACAATATAAACATCTGTGACACGTGAGCGGAGAGACAAAGATAGAGACAGAGATGGATTTGGGATAGGAATTTGCCCTTGTGTCATTGTGGGGGCTGGTGAAGCATTCTGTTTAAGAATATTGTTATCTTTTTGCCTCTGATATTGGAACTTGAAGAAGAAATACTTGAGAAAGGAAAATGTATATAAGGCGAGAAAAAGCAAGAACAACCTAGAATCCACAGTCATGAGGTGCAGCCCACTGGGATAGATTGAAACCCTTGTCAGTTCTTGTTGCTTCAGATCTTGGCATTCACAAGGCTCAGTGACCTTCTTGTTCTTTTACCTTTTATGCTAAATTCATTCTTTGTTAAGTTAATTGGTCTCGAATACATGCCATCTAATAGTGTCCTCGCTTTATATGCTCATATACACAAATATGTACGTGTATATGTATATCTATATCTGTATGAATACCTATTGTAAAATATTTATAAGGAAAAAATGAGATTGGAAAAAGAAGGGAAGTATATAGAAACAATGCCGTCATCCTCCGTGTCCACACGTTCTACATTTGTGGATTTAAACAACTGCAGATCACAATATTCTTAACAATTGCACCTTTACTGAACACATGCAGATGTCAGACAGCATCCCAGGTAGTAGCTTTGAGAATGCAGTCAGGGACAGCCTCAATGAGAAGGTGACATTTGAGTATAGACAGGAGGGAGGTGCAGGAGGTCTGAGCCATGTAAGGATCTACAGAGCGATCATCCTTGGCAGAGGGGGAGGAAAGTCTTCCTCAGAGGTGACAGGTGTCATTCATGGTCTGATCTCTTCCCTTTCAGGCAAACGAAGCCGATGCAGTGATGATCGATGGAGGTTTGGTGTTTGAGGCAGGCCTGGCCCCTTACAACCTGAAACCCATCGTGGAGGAATTCTATGGGCCAAAAGATGGTATGTTCTCCCTGGGGACCCAGGTCTGGTGGGACACCGAAGCCATCAGGGGAGGCAGGAACTTCGTCATTGTAATAGTAATGGGAAGAAAGTTGCTGGAACTCTTTGGCTTGAAGGAGGCTGTCACTGATACTAACCCTCAAGGGCTGGTAGATTGGTTACCCCTGGCAACTGCAAGCTTTATGCATCCTAACATGGAAATGTCATTGGTGCTTCAAGCTGTGGAGTGCTTTAGCCTGAGAGGAGGGTGCTGTCTAGCATCCATCACCCACCAAGGAGTCTGCACCAATAGGAAGCCATCTTTGGTGATGGGTGAGAATCTGGCTGCTTCTGCTGTCTCCTACTGGGGCTACAGAACACACATGAGGACAAGTGCTGGGGGAGTTTAGGAATGGGCTTTGCCTCTTTCTCATACCTGTCCCTTAGTGCCGTTAGTGTGTATGTGCACAGCTCACCTCAATCTGACTCTGAATTGCAGGGACCTGGTTTATTTTTGGGAACCCCTGCATCCTTCCTCTCTCTCCTTTACCTTTGAGCTGTAGACAGAGAAACAGAGAAGGAAGAAAACCCCTTGCAGAGAAGTAGTGACATCATCGGGGCTGGGAGCTGACACTGTCCCTGAGAACAAAACACGAGCAGGCTCTGCAATAACTGGGGACTTCAAGTTTCCTGTCCCCAAGGCTTAGAGGCACGGGCAGGAAAAGAACTACAGGTGCTCCTCAACTTATGACGGGCTTATGTCCTGACAAACCATGTAAATCAAGAATACTGTAAGACAAAAATGCATTCAATACACCCATCCACCAAACATCATAGCTTACCAATACGGTAGGCTGGAGAGTATGGGTTGATTCTCCCCAGGATGGCTGACTGGGAGCTGTGGCCCATTGCTACTGCCCAGAGTTAAGAGAGAGGATCACAGGGCACATCACTAGTCTGTGAAAAGATTAAACTCAAATTTCAGAGAGTGGTTTCTACTGACTATATCTCTTTGCACCATCATAAAGTTTAAAAAAAATTAGAAGTCCAATACAATAATTAATAATAATATAATAAAAAAATAGAAGTCTTATAATAATGTCAGGGAACACCTGTAGTGTTTATTGCTTTGAAAATGTTCGGGTTTCTCTCTCTTGTCAGTTAAGGGTTTTTTTTCGTTTGTTTGTTTTTTCATTTCCTTTTCTCTCTGCTTATCAGGGGATGGCGCAGGTCCTAGAATCCTTCCAATTCTGCATTGCACGCACTCTGGAAGATTAGTAGTGATGATGTGGCAACGTCCTTTGGCCCTTGTTTCTTTCTGATCCTTTGCAGATCCACAAACCTACTATTACGCTGTCGCCCTGGTGAAAAAGGGCACCGGCTTCCATCTGAACCAGCTCCAAGGCAAGAAGTCCTGCCACACAGGCCTGGGCTGGTCCTCGGGGTGGAACATCCCCGTCAGCATGCTGCTTCCTTCCGGCTCTCTTGAAACAGGTAAGCCAGCGAGGGCTGGGTACCTCCAGGTAGGGCTCCTGTACCATTTGCCCAGATGAGTCATGGTGAGATCACACAGTCACTGTCAAGTGTGTGTGAGTTTCATGGTCTCCAGCTCGTTGGCAGCTGAGTCTTCTCTTAGCAAAAGTGCTCCTGTCAGTTCTGCCTTCCTGGGAATCCTGGCAGCTTGGTGGAAATGCCACCTCCCTGCCTCCCCCAGCTTCCCAGGAAGGATTGCTGGGGATTTCAGCCACACACTGGCACTCAGCTCTGTACCTTGGGTGAGGGCTTGAGACAGGTGAGGAGGATGATTGGATGGGCCCAGGCTTCTTGTTCAGTTATGATGAGCTCAGGTGAGTGTCGGATACCTTTTTGGTCTTTAAAGATGATGGCCGAGTCCTGCACTCTGAAAAAGTGTCTTTTGGAGTTCTTCCAACCTCTATAGTCACTGTGACTGTGACAGGGACAAGTGGCTGCAGGGATCTGATGAAGTGTTGCAGCCTGGACCACAGATCTAGTCAAGTTTTGCCATTTCTTGGGCAAAGTGACAGATGCTTCAGTGACAGTTGCTAGTGGACATCTGTATGGCAGTTAGGCAGTGGCTGTTAGCATGCTCCTCACCCCTCACCTCAAGATAGCTCAACTCTCTGCAGGAAGAAGGATCCCCTAAAACCACCACAGCTTCTGCATATAGGCGGGGCGGTGGGACTTACTATGTCTTGAGGTATGGAAGGGCTGATTGGGGACTCCCTGACCTACAAGGTCCTGCCTGACCCCTTAGAGCCTCTATGTTGGTGAGTTACCAGATGCCATTGGCACTGGGCTATATGTTGGTGTAGTGAAGGTCACCAGCTCTTACACTGTGCAGGGGACAATCTGGAGAACATTTTCATAGGCTTGAGCACTGAGCTACACTTGAGTGTGGTGCCCAAGGGCACAGGGACCCTGGGCCATCCACTCACCCTGGTGTGGGCATTATCAGTCACCGCTGGCAGGACTGCACCCTGCTAGCCTGTGCACACCCGCTTCCTCAGGACAGTCCTGGGAAGCGTGGGCAGACTCACGGGCTCTCGGGTCGGGACAACCTGGAGGCCCAGCCGCTCATGCCCTGTGGCCTGTGTGTCTGTGTTTGGCAGCAGCGGCCAGGTTCTTCTCCAGCAGCTGTGTCCCCTGTGCAGATGGGAAGTCATTCCCCAGCCTTTGTCAACTGTGTGTGGGAAAAGGGACAGACAAGTGTGCCTGCTCCTCTCATGAGCCATACTTCGGGTACTCGGGCGCCTTCAAGTGAGTAAGATCCCCTTACTCCCCCTCCCTGTGATGTCGGCGGGACAAAGGCACTAAAAGTGGACAGAGCCTGTCCCAGGGACCTAGAGCATCAATGTGACAGTCAGGGTCCTGAGTGTCTCTCATGGCCTATGGTGGGCTCCCAACCCTCTTTTGCCTGGGGGATGTTCAGGTCTCCTCAGAACCTGGAACCTGCCCATAGTGACTCTCCAGGGCCAGGGCCAAAGGCCAGGGTGTCCCATCTCACATCATCTGCTCGGCACCTTCCTGTGCTGGGACTTGTGCCAATTTCTCAGTCTCTGCGGAGACCACTCCTTGATCTATGCTACTGCTCAAAACCAGGGGAAACTGGCTGAAGTCCAAGGCTACCCAGTGTTTTTATGCTTCATGTGAAAAGCTCTAAGCTTTTATTAAAAACAAACAAACAAAAAAAACACAAACAAACACCCTGCCACTTTCGGTGGCTTTCTAAGAGGAAGGCAAGAGTCCTTTTTCACACCTTCCCTCCCTCCCCCAGGTGCCTGGGATGTTGCATTTCCAGGGCTCCTGCCTGCTTCAGGTTTGGGCTTGGCTGTGGGGTTCAAAGGTCACTCAGATGAGGCCATCACCTCTGTGAGCACAAAACAATGTCTGGGAGACTGTGGGCACTAGTCATCCAGGAGCTGAGCGCCATGGTCCCCATGAGTCCGTGTTCCGGGTGGAGCTTCACGAGAGAGAGGCAAGGCCCACACCAGGGGCAGAGCTTGACCGTGGCCTTCCTGTTCCTCAGGTGTCTGGAGGATGGCGCCGGGGATGTGGCCTTCGTGAGGCACGTGACAGTGTTTGGTAAGTGCTGGAGGAAGGGCATGTGGGCCCCAGCTGAGCCAGGGGGCTGGCTCTTGCCCCAGGTTTCCTTATACCCAGAACAGGTGACGTGGAGATGTTTAATGCCACAGGAGAGATTCTGCTTAAGCATTTTTGTTGTTTGTCCTTTGTTTAGGGCCCAATTTGTTCTCAGCTCACCTTCTGCTGAACATCTCCCTGTGTCAGGGACCTGTGCCTCTCTGTCCCCACCTTCCACGTAGCCAACTGCAGCCACCTCTCCAGAAATCTAGTGAACCTTTATACAGAACTTACCAACTAACAAAACAAGTGCCCTCCAATTTGATCCCCAGGATGTGGGTTCACACAGAGGGCCTTGAGCCAGCCAGACAGGTGCTCCACACCGAGGGGGAGGGTCTTTTTTGTTTTTATATTTGTGCTTTTTACTTCTTCTTCTTCTTTTTTTGTGGTGCTGGGTTAAGTCCTCACATTTTCATTGGCCTTAGTTCCTCACAACCTCGACCTCCTGTCTTTTCCTGACACAATGCCTTCAGTGTCCTTTGTTCTCTTATTCAGCCGTTCACATTTCGCTGTCTCATTATGATAATTTGGCCTCCTTTGTCAGCAATTTGGCAATTGATGCATGTCCTATTATCAGCTATTTAAATTAGTGGGGTCACCTCCAAGTCTCACCTCCTAGAATCAAGTTGTTCCAAGTAATTATCATTATGTCCTTTGATTGCTCATGGTCTAGCACGCACCCTGAAGAATTTGAAAACACACTAATATTATGGAAACCGCAGGCTGTGCCCAGACCATCCTGATTTACCTCTGACTGCCCTCATGTACTGCTTTTTTAAAAAATTATCATTACTTTGAGATCATGGGATTGAATGCACGGATACTCTAGCACTGAGCCACACCCCCAGCCCTTTTTCTTTTTTGTGGTGCTGGGGATTGTGAATGCGAGGCATGCACTCTATCAACTGAACTATATCCCATCCCTTACCTTGTTTTTTGAGACAGGGTCTTGCTAAGTTGTTTAGGGCCTAAGTTGCTAAGGCTGGCCTTGAACTTGCAATTCTTCTGCCTCAGTCTCCTGAATATTCGGCATTATAGGCATGTGCCACCCCAACCATATCTGGCTGTCCCTGATTACCTTTTAAGGAGAATTTTATGAGAGAATAAACACTGGTTTCAGGGGTGCAAGTAACTGTTGGTGGGTGAGAGTTTATCAACCTCAAAGTCCTTCTGTATTAATTTGCTAGGACAGTCAGGACAAAGTCCACACACTGAGTGGTTTAAGCAGCATCTCATAGTTCTGGAGGCTAGAATTCCAAGATCAGGGTGTTGGCACGGTTCATCTTCCTGAGGACTGGGGGTGGGGGGGGATCTGTTCCAAGCCTCTCTTCTAGCTTGCTGGCAATCTGTGGGGTTCTTCAGCTTGCAGACACATCACCCCAATCTCCGCCTACATGTCCCCGTGGAATTCTCCCTGCTTGCTTGTCTCTCCCCCCACCCCCCCCCCCCCTTTATGACACCAGTTGTATTGGATTAGGAGCCCACTCTATTCCAGTATGACCTCATCTTAACTAATTACATCTGCAAGAACCCTATTTGCAAATAAGGTCACATGTGAGGTACTGGGGATTAGCACTTCAACCTATGAATGCATTGAACCCATAACACCTTCGTGAGGGAACCAGGGAGTCTGTTTCTTTGTACTTGCAGAGTGCTTGGGCTGGTACCCTAGGCCTCCTTCCATCCCTGGGCCTTCCCCTGCCTTTCCCCAGCAGGCTCTGCCTCCAGGGAAATATGGCTGCTCTAGTAGGGATCTAGATTGTCTTGGCACAGCAGTGGGTCAGCCCAGATTGGCTGAGACTTTGACAAGTTACCTTACCTCTTTTTCCTCATCTCCATGATAGGATGCTTATATTATTGGCCTCCCCCAGTGTGGTGAGGATTAAGTGAATTGGGTGGGCCATGAATGCTCAGCTTGCAGTTAGTATTCTTATGAGCAGACACAGAGAAGTGGAGCAGCTGGGTGGGCCCTGGGCTAGGCATGCCTCCAGCCATAGCTATCTGCAGTGAGACTGTGAACCAGTCATTTCACTGCCAAGATCTCCAGTTCCTCCGATGTATGAAAATGTGTATCGAAAAGATTCTGTCTTAGTCCCCTTCAGGTCACACTGTGTGGTTCAGTGTGGAGGGCACACCCCAGCTCATGGTTCTGCTGCAGTGGGCTCATCTGGACTTTCCCTCCCCAGAGAACCTGGAACAGAAGGCTGACAGGGCCCAGTATGAGCTGCTTTGCCCAGACAACACCCGGAAGCCTGTGGATGAATATGAGAATTGCCACTTGGCCCGGGTTCCTTCTCATGCTGTCGTGGCTCGAAGTGTGGATGGCAAGGAAGATCTGATCTGGGAGCTTCTCAACCAGGCTCAGGTATCCCCACCCACCATCCTCTCCCCTGCTTAGAGCTCTCTGCTTGGATTTGGGGATTTTCCTCCTTGCTTTCTGGTCACTCTAGAAGTTCTTTTGTGTTCAAGACACAGTGGGAACCCTGCCACTTTGCCAGGCATGACCCACTTCACGGACAAGGCACTCGGTCTATATTTATAACAGACAACGCTAAAGATTCTTTGCAGAAGCTCCTCTAACTCTCATTTTGTTCTTTCCTGGTTCTAAACAAATCCTCACAGGTGCCAACCTCACCCGTCTCCATGAGATGGTACCCTAGGGCCTTGCTGGCCTGAGATCTGCCCTCCTGACTTCCCTTCCAGTGGGTCCTAGGACGTGAGCATGCCCTCTCTGTCCTGCATTGGTGACAGTCTGTCCCAGTCAGCCCCTGTCCGTCACCCTGCTCCATCTCTCAACACTCTGTGCTCAGCACAGGGCACTGAGAAATTAAGCAAAAACTTGCCCTCAAATTGCTCACGGAGGAGTGTGGAGGAGACACAAACGAGTACACATACCCCTTATCACCACATGGAATCACACAGCCTTGGGGACATGGATTGCATACTCTGTGGAGGACAGAGAAACTGATTTGAAGGGTATATGTGGGGAGATTCCTGGGCCCTGGGGAGTAAACTGTGTGTTCCCAGAGGAAATGGAAGGGGGTCTCTGGTGAGGACAGCAGGTGACATTTATGCAGAGCCAAAGCAAAAGTGAAAAGCAGTCATTTGAAAGAGCACAAAGATAGGCATCGCCATAGCTGCGATCAGGAGTGGCTTTGGGCCAGGCAGCTGGAGTCCTCGGCAAAAGGACCCTTTGTTCTTTTGGAGGCCAGAAAGGGGAAGGGACACTGTTGATGTCTCACAACTGGTCATTCAGTGGCAGCCTGGGAGAGAAGGGAAGAGGAGCCCAGGGTGCCTGGCTTCCACTCCAATGGCATGTGACTGGACCATCAGCCACTTCAGGGTGAAGACCACCAGAGCCAGTGGGGACATCAGTCAAGAACGAGGCAGCCTTCCCCACTGCCCCTGGGAGCACAGAGCAGAAGCCCATCTTGGAGAGGGGCAGCTGCTTGACACAGGACCACCTGGTACCCCTTTGTACAGATCTGGGGGCAAGCCCCGGCAGTCTCCCTGAGGCCCCACTCAAGGCCACCAGCTGAGATCTGAGTAAAGCATTTCCTGGAGATACTGGAGAACACCACGAGCCTCAAGGATGTCAGAGGTCATGGCCACTGTCCTTGTGCTCAGGCCTTCACTGTGGTCCCTCCTTATCTGTGGGGATACATTCCAAGACCCTCCATGGAGGTCTGAATCCATGGATAGTACCGAACCCTACATAGATGCTCCTCAATTTATGAGTTATGTCCAGATAAACCTGTTATAACATTACAAAATTCTAAGTCAAGCTATTATAAATTGGGGACCAACTGTACTATGTTTTTTCCTGTACGTTCAAACCCATGATAAAGTTTAGCTAATAAATTAGGCACAGGAAGAGATCAACAAAATAATTTACAAACCAGAATAATTACGACAATATATGGCAATAAGAGTTAAGGTTTATTGTTTATTTCTGGAATTTTCCATTTCATATTTCTGGAGCGTGGTTCATCTGGCTTTGGGTTTGTTTGACCTTTCTCTTTACCTCAATGCCAATCTCTCTCCTTCACTCTTCCTTTTTTTGCTGTGAACAGGAACATTTTGGAAAGGACAAGTCTTCAGGATTCCAGCTCTTCGGCTCCCCTCTGGGGAAAGACCTGCTGTTTACCGACGCCGCCCATGGGTTTTTAAGGGTCCCCCGTAAGATGGACGCCAAGCTGTACCTGGGCTATGAGTACTATTCTCTCACTCAGCATCTAAAGGGAGGTATGGAAGGTTCTGGGAGGGGCCTGGCCATCTTGGGCAGCAGGCAGGGCAGGGACCATGGGTTGAGGCTTTCCTGGTACCTCCAGGCCTCATGCAACCTTCCCAGCCTGCAGAGCCCGTGGGAGCTACCAACTGAGCTGGGTTAATGGGTGGATTTTCTTCTAAGTTGGGAGAAAGGCCTAAGTTATATGATCACAAAAGGGTTTCGAAGATCTTCCTATTATGGAAGACTTGAAGTAATGATGGTTCTGGAGACCAGCCCAGAGACAGGTCTGATTCACAGGGAGAATAGTCAGTTCTGAACGGGAGCGCGAACAGGGGGCTCTACCACCATCAGGAGCAGAACTAGGATTCTGGAGGTTTTTAGTCCAGTTCCTGCCTTCCTTTGGATTCACATAGTTGATTTCTTCTTTCCTTCTCTATTTTTGCCTCTCACTAATCAATCAATAGTCATCAAGCATCTACAATAGGGTTGCCACCATGTTGGAGGTGGGCACAGGGTGGTGAGGAAAGACATTGGACAAGGAGAGGAGATCAGGCCCACCCAGAACACGTGACTCCCAGCTGGGGCCTGCTCCCCTGATGGGAAGCCTCGTTCTGTAAGGGAAAGTTCCAGATGGTTCTGATTTGAACTGGGGCTCTGAGGCCTCCCTGGGGAAGTGATGCTGGAGGTGAGAGCAGAAGTGAGGGAAATCTTTACCTTTGGTGCTCATCCTAAGAACCAAGCCGTGTCCTGGGATAAGGCACTTTGCTGTTGTCAGTGGGGAGTTCCTTGGGCAGCCACTCTGCAGCCATCTGGAGCTTCCTTTGGATCCCTGACTATTCTCCGCCCATCCCAGGTGTGGAAGACTCCCAGAAGGTACAGTGGTGTGCAGTGGGCCACCAGGAGAAGGCCAAGTGTGACCAGTGGAGTGCAGTGAGCGGTGGTGCCCTGGTGTGCACCGTGGAGGAGACTCCTGAGGACTGCATTGCCGCCATTGTGGTAGGGGGTCCCTCTACAGCTGCACTCACTCAGACACAGCGTGCTTTTGCCACGTGCTTTTGCCCCTTCCCAGCCTCCTCACCGGCCTCCACGCTAACACGCTACCCCAACACACTCCAAATCCCCACCCCACTTTCCCCATGGGCCACTCCACCTACCAGGCAGAAGCAGAGTTAGACTCCTTGGGCTCAGCTCTGGAGTCTGGGATCCTTGGGATGTCCTGCACAGGAGCTGTGGGGAGTAGGGGCGCATTCTAGGGTGTGGTCAGGGCCACTGTGGATTGTCGGTGCTGATCGACCTTGTCAGCCCTCAATTTTTTTCTGATCATAAAAATCTTCCTACGTGTTGGCAGGTCCATGAAAAATTAACAAAATCATTCACACCTTCCCCAGTTAACAAAATCATTCACACCTTCACCACTTAGAGATCATCGTCCCATCATTTCTGAGTGATGAAACTGTGTTATAAACTTTCCGTTTCTCTGTGGGCAGTTAGTATTTTTTTGCAATTTGGAAAAAGAATTAAACACAAAAGACTAAAAAACTGATACACTGAGGAGACTGTACAGCAGTCTTTCTTGAGAAGATCCTAAATTTGATAAACCTGGTACCAACCCATAGGATTAAGATCTTGCTAGTTAAATATATTTATCTCCTAAATTTTCCAGTTGTAAGAATTACAACTTAAGTGCTCGGAACATTGCCTGGCATAGAATGATCAGTCAATAAATGTTGGATATCATTATAATTTAAAGACTTGAGTTGGGCAAGGTGGCACATGCCTGTAATCCCAGTGACTTCAGAGGCTGAGGCAGAAGGATTGCAAATTATTAAATTTCCCTCTGCTTCTGTTTGTTAATCTGTCTGAGAAGAGAAATTATAAGACCTGCCTTATTTGAGTTTATGAGGAATACATAAGGTAATCACTGTACAATGTTTAGGAAATAGCCTGGGACATATTAAAGATTTGGCAAGATTGTGCTGCTGTAGTTGCTATTTTTTAAATTTCTAGGACAGCTGATATGTCAAAGTGAACAGTGTTTATGTGTCTGTGTATTTTTATCTCGATGCCTGTTTTAGTCAGCTTTTTCACTGCTGTGACTAAAAGGATCTGACCAGCACAACTATAGAGAAGGAAAAGTTTATTGGAGGGCTCACGGTTTCAGAGGTCTTGGTCCATAGAAGGCTGGCTCCATTCCTTAGGGCTCGAAGTGAAGCTGAACATCATGGTGGAAGAGTGTGGCAGAGGGCAGCAGCTCACATGATGATCAGAAAGCAGAGAGAGAGAGAGACTCCACTTGCCAGATACAAATATATATATACCCCAAAGCCATGCCCCAATTCCCATCTCCTCTGGCCATACCCTACCCCTTCAGTTACCACTCAGTTAATCCCTATTAGGGGATTTATTCATTGATAGGGTTAAGACTCTCCCAACCCAATCATTTCTTCTCTGAACTTTCTTGCATTGTCTCACACCTGAGTTTTTGGGGGACACATCACATCCATACCCTAACAATGGCCTTATTTATGACTATAAGTATACATTTTTTGCTCTGTGGTTGGAAATCTTAATTAAAATAATAAGTCGATTATTCATTGATTATTTAGAGTAATTATTTTTTTATTGAGAACCTTTGTTGTGCCAGGGTTGTGAGTACAGTGCTAGTGGGATTATGTGAACAGATTTGAATTTCATTATTGGAAGGAAATCATGCTCCATAGAAACCTGCACACAGTCCCTGAGTCTGGCCATGTGGACTGTTGAGTTGACGATGGTCACAGTGAGGTGAGGGCATGTCCGGGACTTGGCATGGGTCTCCTAGGAGCAGCTGGGTCTCCTGGGAGGACAGAGAAGTCCAGAGAGCATGGCCTGGCTTCAGGAACTCATTCTAGGATCAACAGGCCAAAGGCATGTCCAGTTTCTAAAGCCCACATATGTGGCAGAAGTATGGGTGATCCATGATCTGGTCCATCACAAGGACATGTGATGTGAGGCCAATGAGATGAAGCCCTCTGAGGGTCAGTGGGAAGGAGACAGTCTTGCTGTAGCATCATTGATTTGTTTCTTAACTTCAGAAAGGAGACGCTGATGCCATGAGCTTGGATGGAGGATTTGTCTACATAGCAGGCCACTGTGGCCTGGTGCCTGTCCTGGCAGAGAATTATGGTAAGTGAAGGGGTGCACCTCTCTGTTTTCCGCCGGGCATGGACATAAAAAGATGAAGAAGGAATGAAGCTCAGAGACAAGATAACAGTAGTTGTTGTTGAAGTATAGCTAGTAGGTAAAACACCCCTCCCCAAAGTCAGAAATCAGGAAGATACAGACGCAGGACTTGAAAGGTCAAGAAAGATCTTGAAATAATACCTTTGTTGCTGAGAGAGCAGCATTGGAGGATGCAGTGCAGAGTCTGCCCAGGGCCGTCGAATCGCCCCTGTGTTAGAGCTGTCTGCTAACTCAGGAGATGACAGGGGATTGCACACAGCTAATGCAAAGGGGTCTTTGCCGAGATCTGCAGTGGTCTCTGCCTCTCCTCCCCTTCAGTGCATCTCATTTTCTTTCTTTTATACCCGCCTGAGTATTGAGGAGATTATGGGATGGAACCTAATGTTCAGATGGCAAAGAGCAGGAAGAGAGGAGATTAAAGGGGCTTGCAGAACCTTAGCTAATTGACAACCAGTGATAAAGTGCTTAGTTAGTGCTTCTCATTTTATTCTTGCCACATGCACGTTGCAGAGGATATGTGTGATCCAGGATCTGGTCCATCACGAGGACATGTGATGGGAGGTCAATGAGATGAAGCCCCCTGAGGGTCAATGGGAAGGGGACAGTCTTGCCTTGTTGTACCATGGAAGCTCCTAACTTCAGGTGGAGTACTGTGAAGGAGTTTAGTGCCCCTAACTGTGACTGTTCCTCTTTTTCTTTGTAGAACCCAAACAGGGCAGTGAGCGGCTTGGGTCAAAGTGTGTGAATGCCCCCTTGGAAGGTGAGTGGGATCAGAGATGCCAGGACTCAGAGGTGGAGACCTGCTGTTGGGAGACACAAGGGATTATTATTAGATTTGGGGAAGAAAAAGGAGCAGCAGCCACCGCAGTTCATTGTTAACATGCAAAGCTGGCTTGGCCTCTGTCCCCAGCAGCACTGCTGCACATCTAGGGTGGAACCTACCCTTGCCGTTCCTACTGGACATATGCTCCCATTAGTGCATTGGACCTTCCTCACCAGCCCTCCAGTGTGGATTTCCCTGTCACCATTTTACTGAGGAGAAATTCAGGCTCCTAGAGGCTAAGTGGCTGAGGTCATTTAGGAAGTGACTGGCACCCTGGCCTTGTGTCTGCCATGCTGACTGTGACTTTTCCGTGCTGGAGTAGGTAGAGATCTGATCTACAGCACCCAGAAAAGGAGTGTGCATGTGTGGTTGTTTTGGTGTCGAGCCACACTATTTTCTAATTCTGAAGATTTAAGATTTTTTTGGGGGGGTACCAGGGTTTGAACTCAGGGGTGCTTAACCACTAAGCCACATCCCCGACTCTTTTTATTTTTTATTTTAAGACAGGGTCTCACTGAGTTGCTTAGAGCCTTGCCAAGTTGCTGAGGCTGGCCTTGAACTTGAGATCCTCTTGCCTCAGCCTCCTGAGCCACTGGGATTACAGGTGTGCGCTACTGAGGTCGGCCAAGATTTATGATTCTAATTTAGCCAATTCCATTTTGTAGTCAGGCCTTACTCAACAGGCACAATTCAGTTATATAATATTTGGACAGGAAAACTGAAATAGTAACCCATTTTGTTCCATTGTCCCAGATGTTGAACACCTATAAAAACTTAAATATAATACAGAATAATAATATTAATTGATATCATAATATACATAAGCTTCAGAATTATTATTTCCAACTCTATTTTAATGCACCCATGCCAATTTTGTTGAAAAATTCATAGAACTGAGAACTTGGGACTTAATGATAATTTTCTAGAGCCAGGAATAAGGCAAGACTACCCAGTCCCACCAAAGATAGGCAGCATTGTTTTGGAAGTGAATGCAGTAAGATAAGAAATTAAGAAAGAAGTTATTAAAGTTCTTTCTAATGAACTGCAATTAAACAGACATACTTAAGGTGCACTCTCATAGGTACAAAGAGTTATATAAATTTGTGGCTTGTGATGAGACAAAATGGGTCTCAATATAAATGCCCATTAGTAGGGGGACTATAACACAATAAATCCAGGTAAGAGGCCATACCTTAGATTCCACCATCAGAATGAGATAGCTATGTCTAGTTCTGTTGAATCAAAAAGATGTCCACAATATACTACTGAGGAGGAATAAAGCAACTTGCAGAAAAGAATACATAGACGGATTCCATTGCAACAGTAGGGTGCATGTGCAATACGTGCAGGTACACGTGTGTAGATGCGTCTGGGGTGTGGTAGTTTTTGTATCTTTGGCCCAGGACCTAATAATGATAGGTATTGGGAGGGTCCCTGCTAGAGTAAGATGAGGAGTTCAAGGTGTTCCCATCTCCTAAGGGGAGCAGCAGGCAGAGGCTAGCAGCAACACCTCTAGAATGCATTTTCAGAGTGTGCTGGAGTATTAAATTGTATGTCAGCACTCCCTATATACACCCCCCCCCCAATTTGCAATGATTATACTGAAATTCATTTCTAAATACGTATACTTACATGTATATATACATATATTATAAATATATAGTATATAAGTATCTTATGTATGTAGGTATATACATATGCATATATATATATATGTATATATGTATGTATGTATGTATGTATATTATTTTTTTCCCTTGAGCAAACTTGCTCAGAAAACTTGGATCTTCTCTGAGAAGGTCTGGCTCTTGGCTTGAAAGGACAGGCATTAGTGAGAAATCAGTGAAGGAGTTAAGCATTATTTTAAGCAGACAGGAATTTAATATGGGGATCTCAGTGTTAGTAAAAAGTAGACCCTAGGTTACTGGAATGACTCCCACCCAGAAGAAATGGAACTGACTCTCTAGGACAGCTCCCACATCCAAGACCTCCCCAAGTGCAGTGATTTTACCGCATGCCCTACAGCCGTGAGCCGGGGTGGAGACGAGAACCCACACTGCTGTTGCTCCTGCAATTGCTGTAATAGCCTCTGCTCTATTAGTGTGGAGAAGGGAGAGATGGACAGAAAGACCTCATACTTCCTGACTTTGTTTCCTAGGAGAAAGAATCAAAAAGGAAGGCAGAGGACCCCTGGGTCACTTCCACTCTCCCAATGCCACACATTCTGATTTCTGCTAAGGATTTAACTGCAAGAAAACATTGAAAGTGTTGTTTTCACATCCACAGCCAAGGGGGGCTGGGGTGGATGGAACGGAGATGGAGAATGTCCAGCTCACGTTGGACACCATGTGGAGATGCCATTCAGTGGCTTGGTGAAGAGGGCTGGTCAGATCTCACTTATGTCCTCCATCCTCCTCCCTCCTTCCAACCTCCCCCCCGCAAAAAAATAAGTTGCATGTTGGTATCTCCCCTGCAAGGTTATTACGTCGTGGCCGTGGTGAAGAAATCCGATGCTGATGTCACTTGGGACACGCTGCGAGGCAAGAAGTCCTGCCATACTGCGGTGGGCACTTCCGCAGGCTGGAACATCCCCATGGGTTTAATACACAACCAAACCGGGTCCTGTAAATTTGGTGAGTGTGTTCTGGAGGTCTTCCTGGTTGGGTGTGTGCCTGGGGAGAAATTCTGCTGGATGAATGGCAAGGAATTCCTTAAGTGGAGGTGGGGTTCCCAGACACTGAGGGTGTCCCTTTTTCCTTACCCGCTTGGCCCCAAAGGCAGCTCTCAGGGAAGTAGCTCTATTCCTGAAGTCTCTCAAATTGCTCGGGAAACAAGCAAAACAAGAGTGGGGTGAGGATGTATGTGTGTGTGTGTGTGATTTTTTCACATGAAATCCAAATTGTGTTGCTTTCTTAATTGCAAAATGTCCACCATTAAGTCCCTGAGGGCTGTGTCTTTCACGTTCATCTCGCTTAGATTCTCACACGAGTCTTTTCAGCTTATTTTTTTGCCAGAACCTAAACAGCTCCTGCTCCTCTGCATTCCCCACCTATCTGACAAATCCCAGCCCTGCAGAACCCCTGCAGCATGACTTGCTGTCCGGGCAGCTGACACACCTGGAGAATGTCACCTGTCACAGGGCAGCAGAGCAGTTCATGTCACTGGAAATGCTCCAGCCGACACTCACAAGCGCCCTCAGATTCTCTGCTCCACACTTTGTTACCCTAATGGTCTAATGGTTCACACACCTCAAACCCTCACCCATCTGCCAGTCTTTCTCAGCCGATGGTTGATTGGGCACCTACAGGAGATGCTTGAAGCCATTAGAAAGGTTCCCCTTCAGCTTCCCACTGCTGAAGCTGTGGGCCTCCTCCTCTCTCCAGCCAGTCTCTCTGTCTGCACCTGGGTGTTGGTCACCCCACCGGCCTCCCCTCCAGAGTCTCAGACCCTCTGTTTACTCTTCCTCTGGTATGTGCAACAATTTCTTTCAACAGGTCAACACACCCAATGCCTTCCATCTTTAAAACTCACCCCCTCCTCCCAATAATCTCCTCTAGCTCCTGATTTTTCTTCCTCCTCCCTTTACTGCCAGGTATCCTCAAAGCATTGTCTGAACTACCCACTGCCCACCTGCTCCTCAGCAACCCGCTGTCTGGATCGGCAGCATATTCCACCAGTGCCCTCCATGTTGTTCTCCTGGAAGGGTGTGCCCAGCTCCTTCCTCTTGACCTCTCAGCACCATTTCCTCAAGTCCCCTTCAAACATTATTTCCTGGATTTTGTGGAAAAAAAAAACAAAACACAGTCTTGGTTTTTCTCCTACCCCTACAAGATCCCCCTTTCCTAACAAATTTAAGAAATATTTGAGATGCATAAAGCACCTCTTTCCTCCAATCCCCAAGTGCTCACATCCACCCGTGCGGTTCCATTAGCACGAAAAGGAGTGCCACAAAGCTAAGCATGTGCTAAGCACAAGGTCCACGTTGGCTGCTGTTGTTACAGAAAGATAGAGAACTCTCGGGTCCTTCTTCCCAGGACACATCTCTCCAGACGTGTATATATTGGTCTGTTTGACATATCTAGTCAGATATTTGAAAAGCACAATCACCTCAACCTGTCTAAAATGGAATGTGTCATCTCTGCTGAGCCTGGCTTTATCCCAGAAGTGCCTAGGGTAATAGAGGACCCACAGTCCACCCACTTACCCGGCTGGAAACCTAGCTGCCACCCTCCACATACCCGTCCCTCACCAGCATGTCCGTTTCTCCTCCTGCCACCCATTCCCCACCCCTCTGCTCTGTGTTAATCCCTGCTGCCCTCATCAACCCTGGCCTCCTGCCCCGGGTCCCAGCTACCCCACTGCCAGGCCTATCTTTGCACAATGCATATCGGACTGCATCCTGCCTACTACCCCTGGCCCAGCATTGCCCAAAACCCATCAGAGGCTCCCCTTTCTCTAGGGATGAAGAACACGGCTACACAGTGATGTCAAAGTTTCCCTGGGCTCTGCCTTGCTTGCTCCCCCGCTGCTTAACGTGGGGGTCCAGCCCTGTGACCTCCAGGAACCGCTCTGTGCCTTTCCCTCCACTGCACCTCAAGACAGCCTTTTGCTGGTGCTGGCCCCCTGGTCTGAAGGCTCCTCTTGGCTGCTTACTTGGGGACCACCTCCTCACTCTCTATCTCTCACCCGTCGTCCTCCCAGCTCCATAGCCTCATAGAACCACATTCCTTTTCTTTGAACATGGAGGTGGGGTCATGGATTCACTGCTGTGGTTACTTGACTTCTGCCTCTTGCCCACCAGGCTTAAGGTTCCTGAAAGGGCAGGGCCTAGGCTAATTTCCTTATGGATGAGCCCCCCAGAACTTGAGTGCTGGCCTTGGTGGCCATGCCTTCCTGACTTGGAGTCTCAAGGGCAATCCTTGAGGGCAGCAGAGGACAGCAGGTGTGTAGGTCAGGTTCAACGAGCCAGGACTTACACTTTCCCCTCTCAGAGGGCTAGGATCTGTGTCGGTCCCTTGACACCAGTACTCTGCGCCAGGACAGGTGGACTTCTGGGCTCACAGACCCCGATCCATCTGGAGTTGATTTCCCTTTACTTTGTTCCAGCTGGAACTTCTTTTTATATTTTATTCTATGAAATTCTTCTTTTTAGATACATATGACAGTAGAATGTATTTTGGTGTATTGTACATACATGCTGCATAACTTCCCATTCTTGTGGGAGTACGTGATGTGGAGTTACACTGGTCATGTATTCATATAGAAACATAGGAAAGTTATGTCCAATTCATTCTGCTGTCTTCCTAATCCCACCCTCTACCTTACCTTCATTTCCTTTCCCCTTTATCTAACCCTATGAACTTTTATTCTTCCCTTCCTCATTTATTGTGAGTTAGCATGCCCGTATCAGAGAGAATATTCAGCCTTTGGTTTTTTAGGATTGGCTTATTTCACTTAGCATGATAGTCTCTAGTTCCATCTATTTACTGGCAAATATCACAATTTCATTCTTTTTATGACTGAATAATATTCCATTGTAAATATATACCACATTTCCTTTATCCATTCATCTGTTGAAGGGCACCTAGTTTGGTTCCATCACTTAGCTGTTGTGAATTGAGCCACTATAAACATTGAGATGGCTGCATTACTGTAGTATGCTGATTTTGACTCCTTTGGGTATATACTAAAGGGTGGGATAACTGAGTCAAATGGTGGTTTCATTCCTAGTTTTCTGAGGAATTTCCATTCTGCTTTGCAGAGTGGTTGCACCAATTTGCAGTCCCACCAACAATGTATGAGTGTACCTTTCCCCCCAACACATCCTCGCCAACAGTTATTGTTAATTGCCATTCTGACTGGAGTGAGATGGAATCTCAGTGTAGTTCTAATTTGCATTTCCCTAATTGCTAGAGATGTTGAACATTTTTCCAAATATTTGTTGACCAATTGTATTTCTTCTTCTGTGAAGTGCCTGTTCAGTTCTTTTGCCTATTTATTGATTGGGTTATTTATTTCTTGGGTGTAAAGTTTTTTGAGTTCTTTTTAAATTCTGGAGATTAACACTCTATCTGAGGTGCAGGTGGCAAAGATTTTCTCCCATTCTGTGGGCTCTCTCTTCATGTCTTGATTGTTTCCTTTGCTGTGAAGAAGCTTTTTAGTTTGATACCAGCCCATTTATTGATTTTTGATTTTATGTCTTGCACTTTAGGAGTCCTATTGAGGAATTTGACTCCTAAGCCAACATAATAAAGAGTTGGCACCTCTTCTGGAAGGTGCAGGGTCTCTGGTCTCAGGTCCGTGATCCACTTTGAGTTTTGTGCAGGGATGAGAGATAGGGGTTCAGTTTCATTTTGCTACAATGGATTTTGATTCTTGATCTTCAAAATATGTCACCAAATAATTCTGTGCCTTTGCACAGAATTTTTAGAGAAAAAAAAACTCTGAGGCCTTCCTGCTGTCATGGGAAGAGCTGACTCTGGCTGTTCTTTGCAGATGAGTTCTTCAGTCGCAGCTGTGCCCCTGGGTCTGATCCGGATTCCCACCTCTGTGCTCTGTGTGGTGGCAGCAGCAATCCAGCCCACATGTGTGCTCCCAACAGCCACGAGAAGTACTTCGGCTCCAGTGGGGCGCTTAGGCAAGTACTAACTTCCATTTGCACTAACCCCAGTCTCTCACCCTCTCCATTTCCCCAGCATCTGGGTGTTGCTTTAGAAGGATCCATAATAAGAGATCACACTACTGCAGTTCCTAGTGGCCCCAAGGACTGAAGTCCAGTCCAGTTCTACAGCACTCTCCTGTAGGCCCAGGTGACTTAGGGCACCTCAAGGCCCTGGGGATGGGTGAGAGGGCACCTCAAGGCCCTGGGGATGGGTGAGAGTGATGACTGCAGAGCCACCATCCTGATTCTCCTATTACCCCTTTCTTCTGTGTGACTGTAGACAAGTCATGGAATCTGTCAGAGACTCAGTTTAAAATCACAGGAGGGACACCAGTCACCTTGCTTCTTACACCTGGCTGATGAGTATCTTAAAAACAGATATTCCTGGGCTCTTCCACCCTTTCAAGAAATACTTATTGAACAGCTAATATATGGTAGATGCTGTTCTAAGTAGAGGAGTTATACTAGCCAATTAGACACACATGGTCCTGTCCCTGTCCCTTTCCACCCACTCCTAGTCCCACATGAAGAGTAGGACAATAAACACAAAAATAAAGGATAAGACTCTTTCTAACTGTAAGTGCTGCCAAGGAACCAAGGGAGGGGGGATTCATTAGTCAGCTTTCCATCACTGTAACAAAATGACTGAGATAATTAGCTTATATGGAGGAAAGGTTTGTCTTGAGTCATGGTTTTGGAGATTCCAGTCCATGATTGTGTGGACTCAATGCTTTTAGGCCTGTAATGAGGCAGCACATCATGGTGGGAGCACATTGTGGAACAAAACCCTTTACGTCATGGATAGGAGGCAAAGAAAGAGGGAGGGGTTGAGGTCCATCAATCCTCTTCAAGGGCACCCCCCCAATAACCTAAGGACCTCCCACAAGGTCCCACCTCCTCAAAGGATCACCGCCTTCCAATACTATCACCTTAGGGACTTGGCTTTTAACACATGGCCCTCTTGGGGACAGTCAACATCAAAACTATTACAGTCATCAGGACTATTTTATTTTATTTTTGGTACTGAGAATTGAACCCAAGGGTGCTTAACCACTGAGCCACATCCCCAGCCCTTTTTATTTTTTACTTTGAGACAGAATCTTGTTAAGTTGCCTGCGGCCTCGCTAAGTTGCTGAGGCTGGCTTTGAACTTGTGATCCTCTTGCCTCAGCCTCCTGAGCCATTGGGATTACAGAAATGAGCCACTGCCTCTGGCCAGAAGCAATTTTAGAAAAGGTGGCCATGACAGGAAGTCTTTTGCAAGTAGAGGGTCTAGGTGAGATGAAAATTAAATAATGAGAGGGAATCAGGCCTGAGAAAATTTAGGGGAAGAGTAATACAGGAAGAAGGGTCAGCAAAGACAAGGGCATGAGGATGGGAAGAATCTTGCTGGGTTGAGGTCAGCAAAGAAGGTCTGTGGGTTCAAGTGTGGAGAGAGAGGGGTCTGGCATGTGACCCATAGAGCAGCAGGTGCTGGCCATGGCTCAGAGCCCTACAGGCCTCAATGAGGAGGTAGATTTTTTAATTTGTTCTAATTAGTTGTACATGACAGCAGAATGCATTTTGACTCATTATACACAAATGGAGCACCACTTTTCATTTCTCTGTACACAATGCAGAATCACACCATTTGTGCAATCACACATGTACATAGGGTAATAATGTCTGTCTCATTCTACTATATTTCCCATCCCCAAACTCCCTCCCCTCCCCTCTCTCCCCTTTGTCCAATCCAAAGTTCCTCCATTCTTCCCTATCTGTAACCCCCGCCCGCCCAGTTATGGATTAGCATCAGCATTTGAGAGAAAACATTTAGCCTGTGTTTTTTTTTTGGGATTGGCTTATTTCACTTAGCATGAGGGCTTGTGAAAGCATATTCCAGGACCCCACCTCCTGAGTTTGTCATCCAGGTCTGGGTAAGGCCAGGCTTGCATTTCTCACAGATTTCCAGCCACGCTGATGCTGCTGGTCCCTAGCCTACAACCTTGAGGACCATTGGTGTGGCATAGGGAAGGAATATCCAGGAAGGTCTTTCTGTCTGCCTCGCCCTGGGGTGTAGACACACCCAAGACAGGTGATCATGCCTGTTCAGGACTGTGATTCTCTGAAGGGGTCATGAAGGAAAGAAATGGGGTGAGAGAATTCAGCAAATGTGAATGAGAGTAATGGACACCTCCACCACCCCCTGCCAAATTTAGGTATAGAGGCACCCAAAGACAGGAGCGAGAGGTGCTCCTGACGACTAATAGCCATTGCCAACTGACCGGATATCGTAAGGCTGATTTTTAATCTGTCCAACATTTCATATTAAAGAATGTACCTTGAACATAGAGAAACATTTTTCATGAAATTAAGGGTGAACAAATATCTAGTGAAGCACATTCGTTCTTGTGGATCCTGAGTAGATCTAAGTATGATCAAAACTCCTTCAAAGCCACGTCCTCCGCTCTGATTGTAATTGCTGATGCTGAAAGTTGTGGTTCACCCAGAGAGTCATGGATATCCCTGTTACTAGGAGAACACAAGCATCCCCTCTGGAGAAACTGGTCAGTCTTTAGAATGAGGATCTGCACAATGGTTATGCATAACCGAAACTCTATAGACAGTTCTGTTTTTCTGTTACATCCCCTAGTCTAATGCCCAGGGATGGTGTGGGTGTTATGGTTGCTTGTGAGGAAGTGTGTGTGTGTGGCCAGGGACTGTGACTCCCTCTCTGTGTCTCCTTTCCACTACTGTTGACTCTCCTCACTGACACAGCCTTCCATGTGCAGGTGTCTGGTTGAGAAGGGAGATGTGGCCTTTGTGAGGCACTCCGCTGTCCTCCGGAACACTGACGGTATGTGCCTTTCCCACCTGAGAAAGATCTGAGTCTCTTGTGTGGAGTCACCACCCAGCAGGGCAACCTTACCAGACTCCAGTGACTTTGGTCCTAATGTTTTAAATTTAGGGAATGAGAAAGTTCTTCATGTCAGACCTGCTGGGGTTGGTTATCACTCAGGTCTTGACCAACACGCAGGCGTGTTTTAAGAGATCTTTGCCTTTAACAGGACTGAAAAAGCATCATCAAAAATGTTCTGAATTGTGAGTTTGTCCCTTTAGTTTTATTTTTGAGAGCTTTCTTACTTTGTGACTCTCCCAGGCACTGGTGGTCACTCCCATTGTCCCAGGGAGGGCATCTTGACCAAAACCATCAGCTGTGGCTGACCCACTTTTCTCCCCTCAGGAAAGAACACTGAGGCATGGGCTAAGAATCTGAAGCAGAAAGACTTTGAGTTGCTGTGTCCTGATGGCACCAGGAAGCCTGTGACTGAGGCTCACAGCTGCCATCTGGCTACAGTGCCAAATCATGCTGTGGTCTCAAGGAAAGATAAGGCAGATTTTGTCCGCAGAATACTCTTCAACCAACAGGTATGGCTATCCAGGGCCCCCTCTCTCTCCTTTTTGACTGAGTGCTCTGAATTTGCTTGTGGAGGTGCACAGATGTGCTCAGCCAAGCCTCATCCTTTCTCCCTGGGCAGTGGGACCTGAGTTTCCCAGTTCTGCCTCTGATTACAACTGTTAACCATACTCACTTGCTCTGGGGCCATCTAGCACATCCAAGTAGAGTGGGAAAACCTCAGACAAGGGGCACCTGAGTGTCTGCCTAAGACTCACTTGACTTGGAGCAGATTCATGGCACCTGGGGAATTAACCCTTTCTCTCTTCTTCTGTTGCAGAAATAAGGGAGTTGGCTCAGAGCCCTTCACACAAGGCTGAACTAAATGTAGGAAAGGCAGAATGGAGGTTAATCAAGCTGACTCGTGGGTGGATCCAAAGGTGTTTTCTAAACCTGGGAAGGCTGGGCACTGTCCAGGGCTTCATGACCATTAAAAAGCTAACATTCAGACACCTTATGATGCTACAGGGAGCCAGCAAGGGCTGATTTTATGGAGTAGCAGCCTGCCTAAACCAAGTGATCTCTTATGGAAAACCCAAAGCTTCCTCTGCCTTTTGCGCTAGCGAACCCCTTCTTGGATGTTCCCCAAATGAGAAATCCGTGTCTTAGCATATACCACTCACACATCCCAGTTAAAAGATAACAATCCAGGAAAAGCTGTTAAAATAAGTGGTCCTGGGTTGTGGACTTTCAAAAGGAAAATTCCCACATAGGACAAGCTGTTACCTTGATCACAGAGGAAATGGACAGAGATAGAGAGGAGAGAGGAACAAAGGGATAGAAATGATTGGGTACCGGGGACAGATCCAGAGAAGAGATAAGGCAGCCAGGAGTCCAGGTGGCAGAAAGACATGCAAGTATGATCCAGAAAGTTGGAAACATCTCATGGTGGTTAGCCAGATAGTGATATGGTGGAAAACTTAAAATTCTTTCTATTACCAGTTGCTTTACATACATCATCTATTTGGTGTTACCATCTTCATCTGGAAATGAGTGAACAGATTCACTGAGCTCAGTGGAACTAAGTCAGACAGCAAGAAAAAGACAGCAGGGATTTGAACCCAGAGACGTTGTCTGCTGCCATTTTACTGCAGTACCCCCTACCCCCCGAAACTGTTGCCTTGTCTCGGGGTTTCCCTGGGGCTGGAGTTGAGCAGTCCAACCGACAAAGGTCTTCTGGGGCAGAACATATACCTCTGTGCTTCCTATGGCCCATGGTCCCTCTCTGTTTGTCTGTATGTCTGACCCAGGAGCTCTTTGGAAGAAATGGATTTGAATATTTGATGTTCCAGCTGTTTGAATCTTCCACCAAGGACCTGCTGTTTAGTGATGACACAGAATGTCTGGCTAACCTTCAGAACAAAACAACTTATGAAAAATTCTTAGGGCCAGAATATCTTGTGGCTATGGCTAACTTGAAACCATGCTTAACCTCTGGTAAGTAGCATAGAACACCGAGGAGAAATAACCTGGAGCTCAAGGTAAAGATGTTTGTACTAAGGACAAGTGTGTACCAGGCCCTGGGCTGGTATTGACAGGAGCACTAAGACCTGGAGGGCTGTTCCCTGCCCTGCAGGAGGATTCAGAATCAGTGAGGAGGAGACTCAATTAGGCAACAGTGAGAGACACCCTCCGAAAAAGGCTGAGTTGTTGGAAGGAGAAAAAGATTGCAGTAGAATTTGAGATCATGTGGGAGTTGAACTTATTTCCGTGTGTATTTCTGTATTTTGGTCATAAAGTGAGAAGAATGTGTGAGCACTTCAGTACAGGGAGAGGTCTTGGGAAACGACATATACTGTATGCAATACCCATAGAGGACAAAGTTTCAGAGGTTTTAAGTAAAATGTGTAAATAATATTAATAGAAACAGATAAAGCATAGTTCTGTCGTAGGCCCTTTCTAGCTATCCTTGTTTTTTAGATAGCCTCATAAAGAAATAAATTGGGGAAATAAAACTAGAGCTGGAGTAAACAAACTGCTGAGAGTTTGCCTGAATTTTTGCTGAGTTATATCATGTGTTAGAGACGATGAGAGCAGGAAAAAAGGAAAATGCACAGAGAAGGCGTTTGACCCTATTTAAAACAAATCTTTATTAAGCTGCTCATGGCAGCACCCGCCTGTAATCCCAGCAACTGGGGAGGCTGAGGCAGGAGGATCACAAGTCCAAGGCCAGCTTCAGACTTAGCAAGGCTCTAAGCGACTTAGCAATACCCTGTCTCAAAACAAAATATCAGAAAGGGCTGGGGATGTGGCTCAGTGGCTAAGTGCCCCTGGGTTCAATCCCTGGTACAAAACAAACAAACAAAAACCAAAAAAAATGAAACCACAAAACTTTATAACTACCACTTATTTTTAAAAAATAGCAGCAGAACTGTATTTAGTAAGCATCAGCAGCACTTGACAGTCTTTCTCTTTTGTTATGCTTTACAGAACTTCTGGAAGCCTGCACATTCCACAGGAAGTAAAAACTGCTCAGGGTGGGCAACCACGTGGATGCTGGGAACCTCAAATGTGGTGGGGTGTCACGAAAGCAAAAGGTGCGACTTATGCAGTCAAGGGGGAGAAATAAAGAATGTCCACGCACCTCTGCTTTTGTCAATGCTTTATTCACTCAAAACACTTAATAAAATTTCACTCTATAGGTTCTTAATCAAGAAAAATGACAATCCTTAATGCTAGGCACTGCAGTAGACATCATCAATTCACAGCAAATAAATTCTAGATTAATTCTAAGCATTGCAAACACACTGTATCATGACAGGCTCATGACAGACTCTGCATGCTAAGTTCAAGTGTCAGATCAAAAGCTCAAGCCTTAGGCTTTAAGTCCAGCAGATGCCCACTTACTCAGACTGCGGTCATCAGGCCAAGAACCAAGGCAGGCTTCTCCTGGGGTGGAGCTGACGGCCAGTTGAGGAGAGGGTCCTAGGGAGAAGTTGCCACTCTCACCAGGGTCAAGATGTGGCTGTAGAGTTTGGGAGCAGTGAGGAAAATGCAGAGGATCAGCAAAGATGAGAAGAGTTGAGATGTCAGTCTGGGTCCTCATCAGGTTCTCTAGAGTGGAAGCATCAGTGTTGGCTGGCTGAATGTCTGTTCATTTGCTCCTTCATTTATACTAAATTTTGGGGCTTTTGACCCCAACCCTTTCAATCCTGATCAGCTGCCACCGGGTTTCTTAGTGACATCATTTGCCCTGGGGTTAAAGCATCTGGTCTGGTGGTCCCCACCCTGATTTTCTTGCCTTTCCCCCTTATGGGGTGAGGACAACATGCCAGAGACTTCACTCTGAGTTTGTCATGGTGGGGAGAAGTGACTTATTTGTGCCTTAGGGCCACATTGGAGGCCACATTGTTAGTTCTGCCTGGTGAGATTGCAGGTTTCAAATTGGAGTTTTAAACTGGAGTTGCTTAGGCTCAGGCCTAAGGCCATCCTTACATGGGGCCCGTTCTCATTTGTCTCCATGTGGACCTATGCCAACGTCAGTTATCTTTACAATTTCTTGCTATAGCTGAATTATAACTGCAAAAAATTAAAATAAATAAAAATTATGTCTTTTCAGAACACTTCACTGAAAGTTCTCATTTTTTTTTTTTAAACTATTTCAGGCTGGGGATATAGTTCAGTTGCATGTATAAAGCTCTGGGTTCAAACCCCAGTGCCACAAAAAAATAAAAACAAAAACAAAAAGCCAACTATTTCTTTATATTAAAATTGTACTCTGAATTTAATATCTATTACATTGCACCTTTCCTTTTTAGAACTCTATAAGATTAGCTGGACTTCCCTCCCTATACTGTGATTATTTTATACAAATTAAGTCATTCAAATATAATCCAAGCAACAATCTGCCCCAAGAGTCTGCAAGGTGATTGATTACAAGGGTGCAGAAAGATGTCACAAAAAGTGTGTGAAGGAGCTGGGGCTGTGACTCAGTGGTAGAGCACTTTCCTAGCATGTGTGAGGCACTGGGTTTGATCCTCTGCACTGCATAAAAATAAATAAATAAAATAAAGGTCTTAAAAATGAAAGAATTTTTTCAAAAGTGCGTGAAGTGTCAAGGATTTACATAATAACAAGAATGGATAAGGAATGATTTTGCACATTTAAAAAATTTTAACATTTAAAATTTATGGAATCAAACTCTTAGTTCACATTTATTGTAAAATATTAAAACAACTGCAATAAATAAAATCTTAATACTTATTTAGTCCACTTCCTGAATGTGTGATAAGTGACACACGCATAGGTCAGCTTCTGACCAGAGAGGTTGTGATACCTGTGGTTACAGTCCCAGCCTGTAGAAGTGCCTCAGGGAATGCTAAATGGGAACCTAGTTGCACACTATTAAAAATCAGATTTATGAGTGTGAAATTCTGCCTGTGAAAGAGTAACCAGTATAGAACATGGCTTCCTTCCATAACAACCAAAAACCTGGGAAAAACATGAAACGAGTGTTTGCAAACACGGGACAATAGCACTGTAGGACTGGGATCCTTGAAAGAAGGGAAACAGAAGAGATGAGCATACGGTGACTCTTCTTTCTGCTGATAAGAAATCTCTAGATTGTATACAGGGTGAGGGATCCCACAAATGCCCTCAGCAATGAATTGAGAAAACAGAGACAGAAGCTTGGTGAGTCCAAGGTGCCTAGGATTTGTGGAGTTCCTAGCCAGGATGGATCTTGCAGAGAAACCCTCTGGAGAGCTGTACAGGCATGTCCTTGAGTCTTTGGTAAAATACCAATCTGAGTGTGTGTAGACTGAAATTGAAATCCATGAGCTGGGCAAAGAAAAACTGTGACTTAAAAGCTGAATGGTCAGTGTATGGTGGCACATGCCTGTATTCTCTGTTACTCAGGAGGCCGAGACAGGAGGATTGCAAGTTCCCAGGTCAGCCTGGGCAACTTAACAAGACCCTGTTTTTAAATGCAAGTAAAGAAAATGGGCTAGGGAGGTAGCTTCGTGGTACCTTGCCTAGCATGTGCAAGGCCCTGAGTTCAATGACTAGTACTGAAAAAAAACAACAACAACAAACAAACAAACAAAAATCGAACAATTCCCAGAGTTCAAAAGGCCAGAAATTATTCCAGTTTCTACCAACCATAGTGAAGCAACATCATTGAACATAAAGTCTTCCACTGAAAGGCATGCCTTGACATGGGGCTAAAGTGGTGGTAGATTAAAGTCACTCTTAGAAGAGAAAGAAGGGCCTGATACTCCCCAAGAGGTAATTTTTATTGTTGTTACTGGGGACTGAACACAGGGATGCTTTGCCACCGAGCCACATATACAGCCTTTTATTTATTTATTTATGTTTACTTTGAGACAGGGTTTCCCTAACTAAATTGCTGAGACTGGCCTTGAACTTGTGATCTTCCTATCCTGCTTCAGCCTCCCAAGTCCCTGAGATGACAGGCAGGCATGGACTACATTGCCTGGTCATTTTTTTTTTCTTATATGCAGTTTGAAAATTTTCTTTCTTTGACTTTGACAGCCATGGTTGCCCCTAATGCCTTGAAGCACCTCAGAAGCTTGTTTGGGCTGTGGTACCTTTGATCTCAGGTCCTTTCCAGATGACTCTGGCTCTGTGCTTCAGACGTCCCACTCCTTCCTACCTGTGGCTAAGCAGAACCTCTGTGGTTAACTGGCAGGACACTGTGCACACGCAAGCCTGCTATTTTGTCTACATAAACCACTTCCTTCTCACCCTTGGTGGGTCAGTGCTTTCCCTTATGCTGCAGCATAAGTCCTAAAAATGCCTGTTTTGGATGGTTTTTATTTTGCTTATTTGTGATTTCTATTCTGAATAGAACAGGCTGAGCTGGTTGCAGGCAGAGCTTATAATGCTGAGGGCACCTGAAACAGAGTTGCTAGCAGTCAGAACTGGTACCACCAAGAGGTGTTAGTCCTGAAAATGTTTAGCAGCCAGAAAGCCATGAAGTGCTACTGGGAGGTATAGGAAAAGCAATTGGGAGAGACCTTTATCTGCTAGAAGATTAACAGAGAGAGCTGCTAACACTAAGCAGAGAGCCGCTAGTCCTCCAAACTCAAAGGGAACAAAGGAAGCCACACTTTGCTTATTTGCAATTTGTATCTGAATGGAGCTAAAAAACCCTCAGCCCACTGGTAACAACTCCAGAACTTCCTTATCATAGCTGAAACTGGTTTTAGAGGATCAAACTGGTTTGCAAGTAACTTTAACTGCCTTTCAAAACAAAGTCCAAGACCATGAAAGGAAGACAAATTCTAAATACTTAGTAACACAGCATACAAAATATCTAGTATCAAGTGAAAAACATACATCATGTCCAGTATCAAATGGAAACATTATCAGACATGCAAAAGAAGCAGTAAAATGTGTCCAAGTCAGAGGCAAAATCAGTCAATACAAGTATACCTAGAAACCACAGAGATGTGATATTTGGACAATGCACTTTTAACAGTTGCTATCAACATGCCCAAAGATAAAAAGGAATACATGAATAGGACAGAGAAAACACTTTAGGGCTTTAGAAAGAATTGGTAAAAATCTAGAGTTGCATTTTTTTTTTCAAGCAAAGTGATGAACCCAGGCTAATTCCATCTTAAGATTGGGAGCCATCTCATCACAAAGTCATGAAAAGTTAATTTCTGTTTTACTATAAATTACTGTGATTTCTAAACTTGTTTGGAATTCCTACCTGTGCCTTGAACTCACCCATGCCTGGCTTTTCCTGGCCAGATAACAGCCCTCTCTAAAACCTTAGTGGTGCCTCATAAATCCTGGCTCCCCCGACCAGATAACAACTCTCTCTGAAACCTCAGTGGCACCTCAAAAATTCTGATGTTGGGGGATCTAAATTTATTCCCTACCTTGAAATGTTAAGCCATGTAGATCATTAACCTATGATCTGCCTTTGTATGATGCTTGTCAAAATCCTGTTCGATGTAGGTTCTCAAGACACCTCCTTTTGCAACTTTTTGTGCTATAAAACCTCATTCCTGGAGAGCTGGGGTGCTGATCTCTAGCCTGTGTTAGGAGAGACAGCCGCTGAACAGCTCTCTTTGTGTACGCAAATACAAGCTTGCTTTAATTTGATTTAAAATTGGAGTCGGTGGTCTTTTCTTTGCATTAGGGTTCAACAGAAAGTCTCTACTTCATCTAAGTTGTTGATTTTTGCCACAAAGTTGTTCTGTATTGCTCTTTTGTTCTTTATAGGATGTATAGTGCTACCCTTTCTTTCTTAATGCCAGAAATTTCCATTTTCTCTTTATTCAATCAGTCTAGTTACTCTATCAGTTCAATTGAATCAAGGAACAAATTTTTGGCTTTTTTCACCACTTGTCTATATTCTATTTCATTTTACTTTTTGTTCCTTCTGATCCCTTTTCTTTTAATCTGCTTTTTTCTTAGATTTTTAAGGTGTAAAATTGGATCAATTATACAGAACATTATTCTTTTCTGATACAAACATTTAAAATGAGAA